AGACCACCAACATTGTGCTAAATTACATTCCCATTGTGTTATTACAATCTCAGTGCTTATGATTTGTTATTTTAAAGGCCCCTCTTCCCCTATTATTACATCTTTTTTCCTCCTATTATATATCCCCCCCTTGCATTCTTTTCTCCCTTACATATTCAGAATTTGAATGGCATACAAAATACCAGCCTTGTTATCCAAATATAGTTTGACTTTCTACTGCATTTAATTCTCCAGAGAGATGCACTATTCACCTCTTTTCTTCACTGTCTGAAACAAAACTACACAGACATCCGTACAAGACAACAGCACTGCCTCAGGAACGACTAACTAAAAAAAAGAAGGGAAAAAGAGATTTTTAGGTTCATAGGTGCTACAAATGACCTTTGTTGTGTGCGTGTGCACTCCATTGTGCACCTTTGTGCATGTTTTTGCATACTGATTGTCTGCTGGCTGCTGGCCCTTTGCAGATAAAGCCTGGTCTTTTTGGGGGCCACTTGTGGCAGGCTGATATTGCCTTTCAGTAATGCCAAGGAGCTCAGGGACTTCTGTGGACCCCTAGGCATCAGCCCAACACAATTAAGAACAAGGAAAACAGCATGTGTGTTGTGAGCAGGGACCGAAGGCCACACTGGCTGCCTTGTTTGTATTGTTCTGATACTGGTTTAAATGTCTAGACAGTGTGTAAAATTGCACTCAGATTAAATATTTACAGTTTTTGCCCACAGCAGTATTGGTGGGATTGCCTTTTCTGTTTTTAAATATTTGGTTTGAAAAGCTGCAGAATGTGTTTTGCTTTTCTTTGTAGTGGTTAAGATTGCTAAACATCTTTTTTCTCTATGATTCAGAGCTTTTTAAGCATCTTCTTCATTCAAGCAGCATTGTTTCCAGCTTCAATTGTGGGATCAGAATGATGCATTAGAGATGCTGCTCTGTGCTGCTACCTTCACAGGCTGTGCTACTGGAGAGTTACTTACCCAATTTACTCCCCCCCCCCACCGGAGCTCTAGCAATTTCAGTGCACATCTTAAGTGCAAATGTTAATGGTGTCCAGAGGATGAATCCTCAGAAGCTTACTGATTCACCTACATTTAATCAAGTACATCAGATCCATTTCTTACTTCCATCAACCACTGCTTTAAATTATTATATTGTATTATTGTTGGTCCTTTACCTTACAATATAAAGCCCCTTGAGGGGACTCTTGCGATTTGGCGCAGTATGTAAAAATGCATAAATAAACCTTAAGATGTTAACATGTACATGCTCATCTAAGATGCTCAGAATGGTAAGGTGTAAGTGCTACAGCTTACCATTCTCAATGTTAAGGCGTAGCATTTACATTTTACTAGTGGGAAAGGTGTAAATATGACAGATTATTAGGACCACGTTAAAAAAAAACAAAGCAATATTACTGCGAAATTTCGACTTTAATCTGGAAATTCTGACTTTATTCTCAAAAAGGTTTTTGTTTTCTTAATGTTGCCCTAATATTCCTTCATATATAAGATGGAGGGTTTGTGAATGAATGGGGTCAAGCTGGCAATTAAATGCAGTTTATTTGGGATAGTACAAGTGAAAATGGCCATCTTCACACACACACAAAGGTTACATGAAACAGAAATTCACATTAACAACAAATGTTTTACCACCGATAAACAATGCAATATTAACATTGTCATGGCCAACATATAAACGTAGTATCATATATATCATTACCAAGCAACTGCTCAAAACACCACAAGTGTTGGAGACTAACTAGCATTGCTTCAACATTGTAACCATCATTTTGTAGGCAGAAATCCCAGCTGCAAAAGAAAAAAAAGGATAGTTAAATGGGTTTTGTAACTTGTACAGTGGTTCCAAATGGTCCCTTGGTGGGGAAAATTTTCCAGTTGATTCTAATTTGATCACTATTGATTGCATGTGACTGTACTGTGAACCTTGTGAAAGCCCTCTGATCATTTAGACTCAGTCAGTCTACAGTCAGTGTTTCAAGGCTTCCAGTTTGTGCTACAGTCGTACTAGGGAAAACAGTAGTCGAAGATCACAGCACATTAGTGAGTTACTGCAATTGTATGCAGTGAACCTGCAATCTCCTTGTCTCTGAAATAGTTGTTAGACTAGGCCACTTGCAATTAGTGCCATCTTCAAAGTGCCTTTGGTGCTGCAGGATGGCGATTTAACTGCAAAATGACAGTAGGTAACCAGAATACAACCAGTTGACAACAGGTTGAGCCCCATACTGCAAAGAGACATGTCACAGACAAGTTTTACTCATAAGTTCAGACTGACTCAAGTTGATTGCAACATCTTGTCTGCATCTGTATGCATTTAAAAATTAGACGGCTGTTATTTGTAAACCTTTGACAATCTGATCGCAGTTAGCCTGAGTCCAAAAACAACTTTCTGGAGATGAGTTGCCTCCCACCAGACGACCTGTGCAGTCACCTTGCAATTGAAAGTGATTGCCTGGAGGCTTGACCACTGCAGCTACTTATAATTTGTCACTGAGTGCAATCACTGAAAAACCACCAATATTTCCTAGTTGCAAAGAGTGTTGCTGTACTATTGTCATTCTAGCGTGACTTAGCTATTGGCTGTCTGTTATACCTTTTCCAAGAGATAACTGGACTTTAGCTCTGTGTTGCGTGCACTGATCTGTTTAGGACAACAGGAGCTTTTTTAAAAGATACTGAAAGCGATACATCATTTTCAGACACAGAAGCAATAGTTTTAAGACTGCATTTTGAGCAATGTCTCCCTCTGTATCTCTCCATATGATTGCCAGCTTGCAGTAAAAGCCCACTCAGATGGCCAAAATCGTGCTCCATGCTTAAAAATTCAGCGCATTCATTTTCAGGCATCTGTTTAAACAGATTTGTATCATTGCTACATGCCTTCAGGCTACTTTTCCGCCATGCCAAGGTGTCCTTGTTAAATAAGAAACTGCTGTGGAGCTCCTGCTTGATTCTGAGGATAATTTTTTCCTTTACATGTGTAATTATCTGTTTTATGTAGAAATCAACTTTTGCTAAATTTTGCGTTCATTAACACGTATTAGTTAGATCAATCATTTGACAGAAAAAAATGACCAGTAGACAGAGGAAATAATTTGGTGAAAGGTAATAAAAAAATGTAAAATTCATGGAGTGGGAGGACTTATCTCAGCTGTCTTCATCCATTTAGTCAATCGGCTACTGTCCATGAATTATGGAGTATTGTGGATGCAAAACATACAAATTCCAGCATATCTTTCAGTTTTAATGATAAGCCTGCACAATCCTCACTTTTTTGTTCTTATCAGTTTGTGTACTGTGTGGTAGGGGGTTTATTCTATGTACTATTTTCTTTTCTTCCTGAGAAAATTCAGTTTTATACAAACACCAGAACTGCACCACACTACCCAGTAGATCACATTCTCACCCATTTCACAAGGTGTTATCTATCTGAGTAAACACTTGTCTGTGTGGGATTTATTGCTTGCAGCGGGAGTGTAGGAGCTCATCACTCTCTGGCACAGTGTGATTATCAGCTTTACAGGGCCATTGGTACATTAATGCAAGACCGACTGAAGGCTGTATAAAGTACTGTTAGAAACAGCAGGAAAGAACAGAAGTGTTTCCACAGTCATAGAATGGGTAAACAGCAGTTGCAAAATGGCCATTTATGTCCTCCCTCTTCTATTGCGTGATGCTACCGCCTTTGCACACACCTAGTTGTGCATTTTGTGTTAGGGTTACAGGTAATCTAAACTAATTCTGGAAAACAATAACACCTGTGGCAGTCTTGCAGAATCCACCCAAGATTCAGAAAATACAGGAGGGACGGAGGACAGAAAATGAGTAATGGTCTGTTTGCAGAGCTGTTGGTAGTGTGCTAGTGTGTGTGCTTCAGTGTGATGGGGGTTGGAAAGAGATGAATAGAATGTAAGATGTACAGAGGCATTGGAGTTGTGTACCTGGCTCTCTCATTAGGGAGGTTTTTCTTTGTCCTCTGCTTCACTGGGATTCATTCTTGCATGGTTTCTTTTAAAGACCAGTATGACTGACATCTCCACAGTATTTCATGGATTAGAGGTGGTTTTGTGGGCGTTTTGTGTAGGTGTGGCTGCAGATTTCTCATTTCATCTTGGTTTGTTTAACAATTTCTGAGGTGATGGTGAAATTGGCTTCAGCTGTAAACACGTATCATAAATAAATGTGTGTAAAAATATATATGCAACTGAATAGGTTGGGGAGAAAGTGATGGTTTATCCTGAGGACAGGCATTCAGAACAGGCAGCTGCAAAAAATACCACAGAAGCTCCATAGAAGTAACACGAAAATATTTTGGAAACTATAAATTCCCTGGGTCATTTATAAAGTATACTTATTGGAGATCTTTCTGCCACTCGTTTCAGTTTTAACTGAAGTGCAGTCTTACTACAGTTAAATAGGCTAAATATTTAAACTAGCACAATAAACGCAAAAATCTACATCCCAGTGTTCAGTGGAACCACAGATAATGCCGTAATCCTATTATAGTTCAGCTTAAAAGATTTTCTTAAAAGCTGTGAATACTTACGTCTTATAAATACACATTTGAAGGCTAGACATGCTTTCAAAGATATTACTTCCTGAGGATTTTGCGTGTCATCATCTTTTTCTTTTCTTTTTAATTTACACTGCCTCGTGGGGTTCCAAACTACTAAACAAGAACAAAACATATTATGGGGAGGGATGTGTAGTATGAGAGGGGATGTGTTCGTGTGGTAATTACACTGTCAGACTGGATTATTGCTTAATGAAGGCACTTACACATCAATAATAATGTGCCATGTCTAATTCCTTTAGAACTGCTGCTGTTTTGATTACCACCACTCTTTATTGAGTGGAAGGATTATCTGTTATATTTCACTGTGGCTCGTTGTTGGGGTGTTTTTGTGTTCGGCTAACATGTATCTGTAGCTTAATTTCTAATAAATGCTATGCCTGAAATCTTGTGCCATTCTTCATCTCTAGGGTCTCGTCTTCGCCAGGAAGACTTCCCTCCCCGCATTGTGGAACACCCTTCTGACCTCATTGTGTCCAAAGGGGAGCCAGCCACTCTCAACTGTAAGGCAGAGGGCCGTCCGCCGCCTACGGTGGAATGGTACAAAGATGGGGAGCGTGTTGAGACGGATCGGGAAAATCCCCGTTCCCACCGTATGCTGCTTCCCAGTGGGTCCCTCTTCTTCCTGCGTATCGTCCATGGACGACGGAGCAAGCCAGACGATGGCAGCTACGTGTGTGTGGCCCGAAACTATCTGGGCCAGGCGATCAGTCACAATGCTTCTCTGGAAGTAGCCAGTAAGTTCCTTTTAACATGTGTGTGTTTTTTTTTTGTTGAGTTTTTTTTGTTGTTGGTGTCTTGGCAATGCCATTAAAGAAAAAAGATGCAAAACACCAGGAGGGTTTTATATATCAGACACTGCATCTTACAAACAGGATCAGTGGAAGCAGTCAAACAACACCAAAGTATGTCTCATATCTGTAAGTGTTTGATCAAGAATTCAAAAGTTCCATCTAATACCCAGGTCCATTACCCACACGGCCAGATTTTAATCACCTAAGCTTTTATAAACATTTTAATTAAATTTTCCAAAGACGGTGATAGCAGCAAATTTAATATCTACTTTAAAAGAAAGCAAGTAGCTTCTTCTGATTTGCTCACTATTTCCTCCATATAACCTTACGATAATCTACATGACTAAAGTTATTCAATTATTTGTACTAAAATGAGTGTTTATTTAAGTTTTGGGTTTTTTTTTTTGGCACCTTCCAACTTAACCACTTTCATGCATCTGATTATACATGAAAAGCATCATGCAGTTCCAATCTTCTTTTTATTTTGTAACTTTCATTCCTAACTAGCTTGTTGTTGAGAGACCATAAAGGAAATTCAGACAGGTGTCAGCTGTGTATTCCCAACAGGTGACAACCTCAACTTGCTGAATCATGGCTCTGAAAACAGCCAGCATGGGGAATTGCCAGTTAAACAGTCCCTTTACTGCACTATGTCACAGGCAGGACTCCATCTGCTTGCATGCAACCAATCATACGTGTGTGTTTATGTGTTATCTTGACTGTTGGAATGGACCATCTGAAGTAGAAGAGGCCAAAGAGCAAAAGGTCAGGACTTGCGAGCGTCAGAACAGGGTGTGCACATACACCGACAGTCTTTTAGGCATTTTTTGTAAGAAATGCCAGGATTAGTGTGAATGAAACAGGAGTAAATAATGGCCAGAAAGTGCTGGTGACAAGGGTTAATAACCACGACCGTGCCCTCACACACTTCAGAGCTCCCCATCTTTTACTGTCAATCCCCAGTTCTGCTCAGCTGCGTCAGCTTTGCAGTGCGCTACCCAGACTCAATCTCATGGGCAGACATCAAGGTTTTCGAATAATAATACCCCTCCAGTATCTGGTTCACCTTTTGAATTATAATGAAAGAGTTGGTCAAATGCTATCATGGTAGTGCTAGATCAGCGCTCCTACCTTGAGAAGCTCAGCCCTCCAGGGAGAGAGTTTATTACTTGTAGTTCACTAAATTTACTGCCAGGTTTTAAGGTCGAGGGGGAACACAGAGAGGACTTGTTGAAGCTGCCTGGATGAATTATGTCTCCCGGCTTTATCCTTCAGAGGTCACACGGATTCATGGGTCACCCTGGGGCTACATGGTAAAACAAAATGCCCTCTGGCAAATGCTGCTGAGTTAAGGTGTTTAGAAGAGAGAGGTGAGGAGCTGGGGAGTGTTAAAAAGGGGACTGACCTTACTCTGTCAAAAGTGTGTGAAGTAATTTGTTCAGCTTCTTTAGGGTAATAGTAATGGTGTAGGGTTGCTTTGTTTGAAGGAGATGCTTTCAAAAAGGTGGCAGTGGATGTGTTACAGTTTCTCTTTAAAATGCAGCTGTTTCTAAAAAGTTGCGGTGCTCTGCGAGATGCAGTTAAAAATGAAATACAGTGATTGGAAATTTTTTTCAATGCTGTATTTAATTAAAATACTATATGCACAGTTTCAACATCAAATGTTTGAATTTGAAGCCCGCAACACCGTGTAAGTGCTCAGCAACTACGATGGTCACGTGTCGTAGTTTGTAAGAAAAATGTTTTCTCAGTCTTGCTTGATAAAGGCTTTTATCTGCTTGGCCACTGAGGGCATCCTTTATCATTTTTCTTTGTTTATCAGGGGGCTAAATGTTTTCTGTGGGTGGTAGGTCAGGTGACAGGCACCTTTACTGCCTGGATGCTGTAATATGTGCAGGAAGTGGTTTAACATTGTATAGTTTAAATAAACAAGGTCTTTCATTAAAAAAAAAAAAGACAATGGGGTTCATTCACTAGCATGTGCAGAAATGTCCTTACCCTGCTAACAGAGCAAGTGCACACACAAAATTATAGTTAGATACAGTAAACGTTCACACCACTGTGCATTGTGTTTGCTATCTGCAGTCTGTGTAGTGAGACACAAACTGTGCTGGTTAAAAAGAAAAAAAAATATAATAAAAGAAAACCTATTGAGAATAAACACATTAGCTGGAAGAATGAAGCAGGTGGTGAAAGGCATCAGTACAGCATGGATTCATGCATACAACACAATATGCAAATGAGGTTGCAGCATATTTATTTAAGCATTTACAGGTTGCCATATATATGTCCCACACCTGGGAGGACTTGATGGCAATCACATGATGGCATGCACTTTGCATCAAAAATTAACTCAGGTCAAATGAGGTTTTTCTTTATGAACACATGACAATAGTTATTTGCTATAACATATAATATAATATTCTTTTTTACTAATGTCCCCCAAAATCATTAAAGAGGTCATAGTCAATTAAGATGGCTGTCATTGTTATGCTGCCACTTTATATAATATATGTTTTTTGAACATGTTTTTGTACTGTGATTGGAGATTGCTGGAGTACACGGACAAGAATCCCACAGAGAGATTTAGCTTTTTTCATCTCTTAGCGACAAAGAAAATGTGAGCGCTACAGTGGGAAATAATAACTTACTAAAACCTCAACTCAATTCCAAGTGAATTTACTGTATTAAAACCATTTCTGCTGCTGTTACAATTTAACTAACATCGGGGGAAGATGATGAAAAGCTTTGAGACGGCTGACAAAAGGCTGTAGGAGGCTGACAGATGTAAAGTGATGGGAGCAGGAAAGGAGTGACAGAGACAGACTGGAACAGAAGACACGGAGGAAGAAGTATCTGTCCTTCAAGGCACAGAAGTGGAACTTGTTTGCAGAAAATTGAGGTGAAGTTGTAGAGACAGTGACAGATGTACTATGTGCTGGTGCCTGAAGCATGACCACAGGGTTGAAATACTTTGTAAGCATGCACAACATCCGCACATGCATGAGCACAGGCATACACACTCTCGTGCACGCACTGTGTAGAGGAATCCTCTCTAAAAGTGAAAGAGATGAAATTAGAAAAAAGGGGAAAAAATCTAACTTAGTTCGTATCCAATAAATGTCACTGAAGACACTCAGCATATTTTTTTGTGCCCGCAGGGACCCTAGTGGACCCTGGGAAATGAACATATGTCCTGTTGACCTCAGCCACTTGATTCAATCATGGAGAGCTTTATTGAGGTGAAGGCAAAGTCACAGCTTGTGTACTCCAAAGGTTATTGGGTAGTATAACAGTTTTAGGTTCAGTAAGAGAGAAAAATAAATGTTATTCTTAATGAAATTGGACATTGTCATTTGCTAGAGGAAAGTGAGGCTCATTGCAGGGCTGAAGGTTAAGCAGCAACACTGCAGTGATGAAGTAATGAGCCACAGGGAAAGACATCCATACAGAACCGAGACTTGTCATGCAATTAGAGCGTCCCACAAGATTTCTCTGTTTGTATATACAATTTATTGGTATATGAACTAATACATTATTCATACTATTAACAGATGTGCTCTACAGAACCATGTGTCCCCTGCTCACCAGCAGATGTTGCAACCCTGTTATTTTGACTTCATGAGTCTATATTGAAGCATACCACTTGTCATAACTTGACAGTTTACAGGAAGCTTACGAGCTGAAATTAGGGAGCATTTCATAACCCTTTTTTTCAGTATGCTGTAACTCAAGAAACTATTTTTGATCTATTATTGTTAATATTTTATCTTGTTATTTTTTATATTAATATATTAATTAACACCTACTGATAGGACACACTCAATATTGTAATGTACTCTATTTTTGTTAGAAAGACAGACTATGGAAAACTGTAGTAAATATGTAATAAGTATGCATAGTATCACTAATATAATATTATAATGTAATACTGGATGTGAAAATCTGCTTTAATGCTCAATATAAATGGGACCCAAATGGTGGTATTAGCTAGGTGTAGTCTACTGTGACAGTTATACCAAAGAAGCTGAAACTGAGTAGAATATCCTTTTGGTCTCAGTCACTGATAATTATTATAGTGTGACATAAATTGCTGATGAATTGGAGGGTTGCTGGGCCACAGAAAATATTTCTGAGCCACTGTTGGCTTGTGGCTACACTCTAGAGAGTTGTAGCTGGGAAGTCAGTGGAAGCCATATGAAGTACTAATTACACAAATGCGTTACATTAATAGACATGTCCACTGTATTACTCTCTTTGACATGGACAATGAGATATGCTTACCCCAGTCACCCTGTCAGATTGGCAGCTTGTGATGGGACCATGTCTTTTCTCTGTGGTTGAAATCTTGTGCTAAAACTGAGCAGGTTCAGGAGATACACAAGGCAGCAAAGACAGAGAGGTGGCTTCTTAGAGTGCTTGTCCCCCTCTGACTGCCCCTATCCCTTAAATGATGTCTCTTTAGTTCAGATGGCTGTCACTGCCGCTGACAACATCCTGTCTCCAGTCACTCTGGATAAATGGAGTAAGAGACTTTAAGTGGCAGTAGAGTGGTATATCACAGGAACGCTGTCATTTTCGCTCCATATGGACGGGAAGCGATGTTGTTTTATAGACAACCACCGACACGTTGCAAATGGTCTTCAATTCACAGCCACAGAGCCACATATCAGTATTTATTTCTAATTGCCTGTGACAGTCTGTGGAAGCTGTGCTATCCTCTCGTTCCTGATCCTGTGTTCCGCTCCCTTATTCCCTCCCTGTTGGCCTATGGTTAGATCAGTCAGTGAATAAGTATCACACTCCAGGGACAGCTGGTTTGTGTTTACAGTCTGGAGACTGGGGGCGAGTGCTCTTCAAGTATTGTCTAAACAGTTTTAGTTGCTCTATTCCCCTCAGCTGAGCTTTTCCAAGAGCCAAGTTTGTACCAGACTGTCAGGACG